GATAAAGTGTACTGACATCTACAGCTCCTGTTGAAATGCATGAAAAAGATAAGATGACTTGGTAGGTAGATGGATATAAAGATGATAAAGCAAATATAGCAGAATACTAAAAATTATATAATCTGGGTGGCGGATGTTCACTGTTCAAGTCTTTCACCTTTTTCTGTGTTTAAAAGTTTTTCATAAGAAAATACTAGGGGGGAAAAAGGAACAAGAAGGAAAGTAACAGGTATTGAAAACAGGCAGATAAGAGTCAACATATGAAATAAAACCAAGATGAAACAGAACAAATACTGAGTATATACTCAAATATAATTTGAGTGCTTTAGTATAATTTAACTAAACTTTATTGAAGTGGAAAACTTGAAATTATATATTGAAAGAGCACACTCATACCTGAGAATATCAACCAAGGGTGATTGATATTATTGGACTTAAATAATCCTTTGAGCTTCTAAACAAATGAACAAATGAGTTATAAGGGAGACAAAATTACATTATAGACATTTTCATAGCAGTGTTTGGAGGAAAAGAAATTTTAAAAATTAACATGTTTTAAACACTCAAGGAAAGAAAATGTTACCCAAGGATTTTATGGCTAGCAAAATCGACTTTCAACTATACAGATTTAGACAAGCTATTACCATCATGCAAGAATTTAAGTATCTTTGTTTCCCTGACTGACCCTCAGGGAGTCAACTGAAGGATGAACTTCAAAGAACCAAAATCACTAGAGGGACAGCAGCAAAAGAACTGAATGTGAGTGCCACTCGTAAGACTAAGACCAGATGATGGTTAGAAAGAAGAGAATATAGTCTGTAATGGCTGTAGGCTGCTGTTGTTCAGTTGCTAAGTCATGTCTAACTCTTTATGACCCCATGGACTGTAGCATGCAGGCTTCCCTGGCTAGCTAAGTGTGTGTGTGTATACACACACACACACACACACACACATATATGGCTATATACGCTGACAGTATAAAGGACAATTACATAAAATGATTGGGAAAGGATAACCATAAACAAAAAATGTCAACTGCTTTTATTAATTATACTGGTGATGGTTTAAAAACATTAGTACTGTTTTTCTGAGACTACTGAGTAATGTGATATAGAGCATGTTAATAATTATGGGATACATGGGGGTAATTATGAGATCACTTAAATGGTATGTGTAAGGATATTCTAACTGCATAAATTGAGCATGGAACATCTTATCATTCCAGACCAGCAAGGACTATTAAAGATTAGGTTCACATCAGGAGGACTTAGGAATCCACTTGAAGTGTTATTTCAAGTTTCACTAAGGATAATAATTGCAGTGGTTTGAAGCCCATCCAATATGTTTAATTTTGTGAGTTCATATGATGTTAAAAACTAATTGGTTATCATGGAAGATGATGGAGAACTAATTCATTTTCTTAAAAAATGGTAAACAAAGAGAAAGAGCCAGTCACTTATCCTGGCTTTTCTGAATGAACTGGTAGGACTGGGTAACCAAATCATAGATTGAGGGGACCATGTTTCTATGAAATATTCCAACTATATAATAAAAAAGAATTGATAGAGTTAGAATATCACTATATTAAAACTCTCAATGAATAGTAAATCAGGCATTGACCAGTAATGGCTCTGATAACAATACCAACATAGAGATAGCCGGATATTATGTGTTCCTCTTTTTAGAATATGACATCACCAATAGTTTTGTCAAAGGGGTGGAGCCTGAGTCTGATCAAGTGTCTGGGTCCAGCTACCAATTTGCAAAAAATAGAATTTGCACTATGAAAATGTCATCTGCAAAATCTACTCTGAGAAAATTAAATCATGTAATATATTTGAAGGCATAAATATAAACTCTTAGGAAAACATGAGATAACTTAAAATGGATTGGAGATGGAAGAGAGTGGAAGTAGAAATAAACGTCAATTGCTTCCTCACTTGTGGTGGAAGTATATAGAGAAGATAGCATAACAAAGGCATTAGGGCAATGTGTCTAATATATCAGTTGATGGACTAAACTAATTTACTAAAAGATTCTGAGGATCACAAAGCAAAACTCAACTATATTTCATGTACTGATTTGGAGATGTCTCTGTATTAACTCATTAAAAAATACAAGTGTAATCTATTATGTTGAAGGATGATGTACATTCAAGTTTTGACAATTTCTGGCAAGTTTCACAATCTGCTGGTGATGGTTTCCACACAAAGCTACTATTACCTCCAAAGAGGTGCTCTCCTGGTCAGCTGAGAAATGGGAGTGGACTGGAGACTTAATTTTTGCTATATACCTTTAAAAAACTTCCAAATATCACTTATTCAAAAAATCAATAACTTACATTAAAAAAAATCCTTCCCAACCTAGTCTTATGTTTAGCTGAATTGCACATTCATAGTACTAGGCACTTACAGAGAACGTAAAGAACCCTTAAAGAGACTGATGAACATAAAAAGGATCGAAGCCATAGTGTGTAATGAACAAAGAAGTAAGTAGAGGTCCCAAATCTAATTCATTACCACCCTTCTGCAGCCTTCTACCAATTCTTTCTCTCTCAGGATATTCATGATTGGCTATGTAATGACCCTTTTAAAGTATGACTTGACTGACACTGGGCACCACATTTACAAGTGTCCTGGGAGAAGTCATAAAGAGTTGACTTGGATCTGAGAGCATTACACCAACAAGAAGTATGCACTGCAGAAATCCCACCCTTTGGGCCTGGCGGCAGTGACTGAGAAGGTGGAGATAGACCTAGCAGGGCCAGTGAGTACTAAGCCCCTCGAGCCCCTGAGAGTAACTGAGTTGGCTGGTATACTGGCAGCCCTGTGATGCAGCAGGTCAGCGTTCAGATCCAGGATGCCTGCAGGGTGCTGTTTGTGTCCATGTTCTTCATGTTCCAGACAGAACCTAAGGAGATCAATGGTCATACCTCTGGTATTAAAAAGGCTCTGTGGTGCTGTGAGGATAAACAGATCCTTTCAGCTGCTGATAAAACTGTTCTACTTTGGGATTACACTACTGTGACAGAGGTGAAATCTCTAAATTTTGATGTCTTTAGTAGTATGGGATGTATTCCCAAGGGAATGCCTGGTGGTAACGTATGGACCATCTGTTGATTTTCATAGTGCAGTAAGTTTCGACTCAAATCCTTTGAAGCTCCTGCGACCATCAATTCTGCATCTCTTCACCCTGAGAATTTCTTATAGCAGCAAATGAAGATTTTAAACCTTATAAATATGATTATAATAGTGAAGATGAATTAGAATCCTACAAAGGACACTCTGGTCCCATTCACTGTGTGAGGTTTAGTCTGATGGAGAACTCTGTGCCATTGGTTCTGAAGATGGAACATAGAGACTGTGGCAGATTATGGTAGGAAAACCTATGGTCTTTGGAAAGGTGTGTTTCCTGAAGATAGTAGCGAGCTGGCAAACCTGAGGATCAGTTTTTCAGAGACAACAGAAGAAGAGAGAGAAGAAATTGCTTCAGAGAATTCAGATTCCATCTATAGTTCAACTCCTGAAGTTACGGCCTGAGCATCAGACAGATGCCACAGATAGTACACAAATTACAGAGTAAAACAAGCAGAGAGAAGCATCAGCCTCCGAGTTACTCTCTGCTTAAAGCAAACGTGAGCAGTAAATAATGAGGAATATGAATAAGCTCCAGTGCTAGAACTTACCAAAACACAAGAGTATCAGATGAAAACAGATGGAGCTATACTCTTGTAGTCCAATGGTCTGTTGTCTTTTTAATGAATATGTATAAGCCAGCATTCAATCTCTCTTATTACAGTTAGATTTCTGGTAGCTGTTTATGTTATTATGAAGAGGGGAAATGTATTGGCTTATTTTTCTGACTCTTCCCTTAAAGCAGAAAGCTGGGTTTGTTTGTTTGTTTGCTTTAGTTACAAAGAAGAGGGAATACATGATAAAGCAATGGGTTTGACTTCTCTTTCATTGTACACTACTTCTGAACATCTAATTGTTTTGCCTTGTCTCAATAAAATGCTTCTAAAACAAAGACATCTCACTCTTTGTCAAGGGTCAGTCCTTTAGAAGTGTTTGGACTCCGTGTTCCTGTGATCTTCTCTAAGGTGATTAAGTCAGGGCAAGGATTTATTTCCTTCTAACACCTAATTAGTCTTCCCAGGTGGTGCAGTGGTAAAGAATCCTCCTGCCAATGCAGGAGAATCAGGAGACATGGGTTCAATCTCTGGGTCAGGAAGATCCCCTGGAGGAAGAAATGGCAACCCACTCCAGTATTCTTGCCTGAGAAACCCCATGAACAGAGGAGCCTGTTGGGCTACAGTCTGTGGAGTCACAAAGAGTCAGACACGACTGAGCAACTGAACACACACTCACTTTATTAGCAAGCACAAACTTAACTAATGCACTGTGCAGTTTAAACCAGACATATTTGTTATTTATTTTATATATATTCTCTTCTGTCTCTATTTGGTATAATTCTTTTTTCCAAGGTAAGAAAATCAGTGTGCTGTAGAAAATACACTTTCCTATTTATCTCAACTTCAAGGGTGAAATAATAAGCATAGTTTTAAGGAAATATTTTAAAATAGTATTATTTTATTGCATGTGAAAAGTGTAGTGAATATTCTTTCTGTGAACATAGAGAAATATCAACAGTTTTGTTCTGATTTCTGTATTTTGTGTGTTCCCCTCTTTTTAAAAAAAAAAACTTTTGCTTTATAATCGTACATTGTGAAAAATGAGAGGTAAAAATATCCTCTAATTTTCTTTTTAATTACCATATGCTCTAAAAGGAACTTGAAGCTGGCCTAGAAGTTTATGGTGAGGGATTACAGGTTGCTTGGTTTGTATTATACTCACATGGAAGCAAGTATTTATTGAATGCCTGAATTTATTCACCCCTACAAATTTAGTTTGGAGTCCAAGAGCAAATTAAAGCATTGTCCATGAAGCATCTGTATGTTATATTCCTGTTTTGTTTTTTTTGTTTGTTTGTTTTTGTGACAGTTGATTTTTAAAGAGCAACTTTCACCCAAAAAACTGGGCTTCTTAAATGTAATAGAGCTTGTTGGAGCACTTAGTGACATTCTCCATGTTGAGTTCAGGGAAGGAGAACAAGACTTGCTGGTGTTTGATGCTGATATGAAGCCTCTAGCATCTGGTGAGTTGTATTACAGTATGATACAAACCTGATGTTTAATTATCTCTGTAAGGACAAAGAAAAAGAAAGCATCATTTAGGTAACAATCTTAATTGTAACCACATCAACCAAACAGATCCCATGTTAGCCTTGAAAATGTTTTGTATATAATGACCTCCTTCCTGATGATGTATGTTGTAAGAATGCTACTGTATTAAAATCTGAGTTTTTAAAGTTTACTTTCTTCATCGTTTAGATTTTTTAATAATTCTGAAGAAATAAATTTTCTGAAACGATGCTCTCATGGGGAAACACTAGGTAGTTCAGTGGATCTTAACTCGGTTGTTGAACACTGAGTAGTATGTATAATTCTTTTATGTAACTACATTATAGTCCATTTAGCCAGTCTCCTCTCAATGGACATGTAGAGAGTATCCCTTTTTTTATATTATAAAATATACAGTGTTCAATATCCTTGTGCCTACGTCTTTGTATAGTTACTAGTGTATTTCTTTAGGAGCTGCTATGGTTTTATGTCTATCTGGAATCCATTTTAAGGTGTCAACCTCTTATAATTGTCATAAACATGTAAATTTGAACAAAATATGTGATTGGTTTTGGAATTCCCTAAAAATTAAGAGATTGTATTATGGAATATTAAGTGGCTACATACATTGGGGTTCTGTTGTACATTAGTAGTACAAGTAGTTATATTGTACATTAAGCCACAGTGAATGTTCACAGCTAAAGTTGAACAAGAAATACATTGAAATCAGGATGTTGAAAAATAAAACCTTTCACCAAAGTTTAAAAAACCTTACCAGACTTATCTTCCAACCCCCGCCCCCAACGTAAATAATGTAAGATTTGTTCCCATCTGGAACTTACCTTGTGTCTATCCATACTGAAAGGTCTGCAAAGACAGGTTCGTATCTATCATTATCTGCCCAGTGCCTGGCACATAGAATGTGCTCAGTAATAGTTTACAGACTATTTTAATAGATACACATAGGCTTCTCTATTGGTCATTTCAGATGGAGCTGTGTCATCAGTCAGAAATTCATGTGTAGTTCAATCAGATAAGAAAATAGAAGCCAAAGCTTGTGTGTCCAGTCCCCCTAGAAATTCACTGTCTACTGCTGTTATCAAGGAGACTACTTGGGATTGCCCTTCAAAAAGCCATAAGGAACCAGAACAGAAGATTTTCAAGAAGCCTAATCTGGTGGTAAAACCTTTGCAGCTGGTGAGTATGGTTTGATGTCTGTCTTCATGTACTGGAGATTCCGCATTATGAACAGTAACTGAATGAGTGTTTCTTTAGACAAAATTTCTGTTTGAGAAAAAGTCTTATTTCTGGACATATGATTTCTTAGACAAGACCAGAACTTTAGTCTGAAGTCATCTTATACAGCGTTTATTCTGGTTTTCAGTCTTTTATATAACTGGCTTTCCTTGAGTCTCATTTCAAAGTTTTCAGTTGGTTTTGAAGACCTGACTGTTATTTGAGGATAACATTGCTTGGCAGACATTGATTCTCTGTCCATGTGTTTCAGTAGGCTTGAAAACCCTCAGGGCTTCAGAGGGAAGAATTGAGAAGCTTGGCTGTAACTGTTCTCAGCACTGCTGCAGGTTGCCCCTGCACCTAGCCTGAGTTGTAGGGTGCTTTTCTCTTTTACTTTTCTCCACACACACACTTCTCCGCTTTTGTGTTCTCATGTCCTGTTAGTTACTTCGTCATTATTAAGGTATTAGTTGCTCCCTCTTCTTCCCTTTTGCCCTTTACACCTGGCTTCTTAGGTGGAGAGAAAACATTTTGTGTGGAGAGCCTGCTGTATTTTCTAGAGGACGACAGAAAAGCCTAATGGAAAATAGTATATTTTAGAATAAAAGTGTTTGAGAAGCCCCATTTTTGGTTGGAAGAGTAGTCTGGATTTTAATCCATTCTTTAAAGTTGACTTTGTTGGCAGGATTGGTCAGGATGAGGCTGTAACTTAGTTCACCCTCAGTGTTTGAAGCAGCATGTTTTCGGTTTTGCACAGGGCGGTTGTGTGTGACACACTTTTAAATCTCTTTATGTAATAATGTAAGACAGTACTTTTTGTACTTTGAGGTAGGTAAGGATCATCTTGGAAATTGTTTTAAAGGCATAACTGTGGGTCTCACTCACTTCCAGATATTCTGAATCACTGAATCTGGGCTAGAGCCTAAGAATTTTCATTTTTATAATTTGCCAGGTGTATCTTGTAAAGGTAACTCATGAAATATACTTTAAGAAACATTGTCAAAGTTTGACATGTTACTCAAAGATTTGTAGTGGTTTCTTTGTTTGTTTGTTTTTAATTTGTAGCAAATAGAAATGAACAAATCCCAGCTCAGCTTGGCAGTGGCAAATCATGACATCCCACCAGATGCTGTGCAGGACAAGAAGTTATGCAGACTGCCCCCATTAGATACCAGTACCCTCGTGGGTGTCTTTGTGGAGTATATAATCTCTCCTAGTCAATTCTACATCCGAATCTACAGCAGGGATTCATCAGAGTTACTTGAGGACATGATGATTGAAATGCGGTAGGAATCTGTTATTTGCAATGTATTTTTCACATATCTTGTTAAGTCAGTTCTCAAACATTTTGGTCTCAGGGGTTTTAAAAATTAAGGACTCAGGAGAGCCTTTGCTTATCAGTATTTATTGTACCAAAAATAAAACTGCGAAAATGTAAAATGTTGTTTAAAAATCATGATAAGTTCATTTTTCTGAATATAAATAACATTTTTATGGAAAACAGCTGTAGTTGGCTTACTAGAAGAAAGTTGTATTTCAGTATCTGCTTCTGTCTTTAATTTCTTGAGATACATTCTCTTGGTGAAAGTTTATGAAAACATCTGGCCTCACATAGATACATAGTTGGGAAAAAGAGTATTTTTAACAGCCTTTTCAGAAAATTGTGAATACTCTGTTGATGGTATATGAAAACTTGACAAGTAGTGGTGTCTTAAAGTTAGATGTAATGTGGAATTTGAACTTTTCAAACTCTACTATGTTAAAATACATTTTCTAACTTTGCACTTATCTTAGCTATTTGTAAGGCCTCCTCAGACAACAATTTTGCCTTTCTTTTTCTTGGGGATGGTCTTGATCACTGCCTCCTATACAGTGTCACAAACCTCCATCTATAGTTCTTCAGGCACTCTGTCTATCAGATCTAATCCCTTGAGTGTGTTTGTCACTTTCCACTGTGTAAGTAAGCATAGAGACCTTCTAAGTGTGGACTCACTGGAACTGGCCCTCAATTTTACCACCATTTGTGATTTTAAAACATCATGCATTGGTCTTTTGGAAAATACTGGTGCAGTGAGTTATATACATCTTCCAAATGTGGACGTTTAATCACACAGTATATTTTTTAAAATCTCACTCATTAGTATCTCTGATATCATCAGAAGAGTATTATGCATTAGGAGGCTATCAAGCTCACGGTGCTGGATATAACATTTGGAAAATCCTAATTTCAATTGGAAAGCTTTTGAATTTTATCATTGACAATAAATACTGTAAATGTTTTCCTGAAAGTGACAAGCCCACTTCATTCTTGAGAAAGTGTGTGTCAAATACCCAAATCTGAATAAACATAGTTTCTGAGTGGACCTTTCAAGCAAAAATGGTGTTTAATAATGTCTTATTCATCTTCCAACTAAAAACAATACATGCACATATACACACAGAGGAGCTAGTTCAGTTCACTACTGAAATCCATAAGTGCTTTTCCTTAAGACAACTTAGGAAGTATTTTACTTATACTTCCATTTTTGTTACAGAGAACATTGAAAAGATAGTCACTCTGTGTTTGAGGTTTAATATGCTTAATAATTTTTATTGCTTTATCATGGATATTCTTAAGTGAAATTAGCCTTTTTTTTTCTTTTTTAAAAAAATTTAATTGGAATGCATGGCAGTGAAAAATAAATGACTACTAGTACAGTTGAATGCCACTGGCTTGATTCAGCAAAGGCACCTGGAGTTTTACCCTTTTGTAAAACTTTGTAAAAGCAAAGGCACCATAGCTTTTATACCATCAATGCAAATATTAACACAGTGAAAGGACAAATAATTATTTTCATAATAATACATATATTAAAATAGCTTTGATCTTATGAACTCTTTGAAAGTGTGTCAGGGTCCCAGGAATTTGTAAACTGCCCTTGGAGAATTACTGCTCTAAATTATCTTTTCTCTGTGATGTCTTTTAGTAGTAAACACTGTGTAAAAATGTTTATGTTTTCATTCACTTTAGATTTATTCATGAACAGGAATCTGATTTTTACATTGGTGTCACATATAAGAGTAATTTATTTTGTATCTCTCCAAAAGCATACTGTATTTTTTCTAAGTCAACTATATCACTATATTATATACTATATGCCAAGAATACTTGGTATAATGTTACATAATGATCACTTAGTAAATTTCTATTTGAAGAAGTTTATTGGTAAAGAGAAAGGATTTGGATAGGAAAAAGAAGATTAATTGGTATCAGTAATAAGCATTACCAAATCAGAAAAAGTGAGAATTTTTGTTTGCTTTTTGCCAAGATTTCCTGCTCTTGATACATCAATAAAAATGATCTTTAATTTTTTTCTTTTTCTATGGATTTCTTTTATGGAATTCTGCAGGCGCTGTTATTCTAATCAGTTGGTTTCTGATCGATATGCCATGCCAGAGTGTTTTATCCAGCCAGGACATCTCTGTTGTGTAAGGATTTCCGAGGATAAGTGGTGGTATCGGGTCATTATCCATCGAATTCTCGGGAAACAGGAAGTTGAAGTGTTCTATCCAGATTTTGGAAACATTGGAACTGTTCAGAAGTCTTCCCTGAGGTTCCTCAAGTGAGTTAATAAATTCATTAAGAACAATTTAGGTTTGAACCATAATGCTCAGGCTGTGGGGGAGTGAGGACCTCTCTTCCTTTTCTCCTTCCTCTCTTTTTTCTACCCTTCTTTCTTCTTAGTGCAGATTTGGCAAATGGTCACTTAGTTTCACAGTTGGATCTCTTGTGTTTTCTCTCATATGGCTGTGAATCTGAATGGACCATGAGACTAAATTTCATTCTCTTATTAAGAAAATGATGCTTTGGGTTATGCTAAGAGTTGCATTTATATATCATGAAGTTTGGACTGTTTCCACCTATATTTTAATTTCATAGTTTTCAAAGACTGTTATGTTTTACAAATTTCTTTCTTAGACATTAGTGTGAAGTGTTAAGACATTTCATTTAAAAATGCGTGCATTAAATACTCTGAAATGGTATAAAAAACTTAAATCAAGAAGTGGATAAGACGTGCACAACAATTACTGAAGCCCATATGCCTGGAGCCCATGATTCACAACAAGAGAAGCCACCTCAGCGAGAAGCCTGCACACTGCAGTGAAGAGTAGCCGCCACTCGCTGCAACTAGAGAAAGCCCACATGCAGCAAGAAGATCTAGCGCACTCAATAAGAGATTCCATAAAATGCAGTTTTAAAATATGGTTAAATATTCCTATATTTGTCTGTTGCAGGTGCTGCTACACCAAGCTCCCTGCTCAGGCCATCCCTTGCTCTTTGGCCTGGGTGAGACCAGTAGAGGTACGTTTGTGTGCTTCCCATTTAATCAGCAAGCATTTGATGCCAAGAACAATTCAGAGTTCTCAGGATAAAAAAATAAAGCATGAAAAAGAAAGTCATTGTAGACAGTATGGGAGAAAGGCATGTAGACAAAATTAATTGTACTGTGTCAGATTTCCTAGGGAATTTTATAGCGTATGTTAAAGATACAGAAGGAACAGCCCTTGTTTCTGTTCAAGGTAATCGGAGACGGTGTCTTAAAAGAGGTGACATTTGCATGAAACTTTGAAGGAAGATTAGCAGCATAATTGAACAAACAAGAAAGACATTCCACGCAAAGGAAGAGCAGCATGAAAGATCCCAAATTTGAGGAATTTTAAGTGGTTCTGTTTGGCTATGTAATAGAGGACAAGCTGCAGTTGGTGCATGGCAAATGATGTCAGAGAAATAGGGACTAAGGTGGAGACCCGTAGCCATGTGCAGGAGTCTGGACATTGTCCTTTATTTTTTTAAAAACTTTATTTTGTATTGTCGTATAGCCAGTTAACAATGTTGTGATAGTTTCAGATGGACAGCGAAGGGATTCAGGCATACATATACATGTATTCATTCTCTCCCAAATTCCCGTCCCATCCAGGCTTCCACATAACATTGAACAGAGTTCACTTATCTTAGGTTAGGTTTGTTATCCATTTTAAATATAGCAGTGTGTACGTGCTGGACGTTGTCCTTTAGTTTCTGGGGAGCAACTAAAGGGAACTGCCACAATCAGAAATACATTTTTTAAAGAATTCTCTACTGACATTGTTATGGGAGATGATTGGTGTGGGATGGAACAGGAGCCATTTTCATCCATATAGATACATATATTTATGTAGTTATAATTACGCACCTAATTTTGTCTTTTTCCCCTCAGAACTCTTAATTATACATAAAGTACACATTTATTATCCCATATTTGTTAGTTGAAATAACTTATCAGTAGCTTCCATTTGTTGTGACTGTTCAGTTGCTAAGTTGTGCATCACTCTTTGAGACCCCAAGGACAGCAGCACACCAGGCTTCCCTGTCTTTCACTATTTCCGAGTGTGCTCAGATTCATGTCCATTGAGTCGGTGATGCTATTTAACCATTTCATCCTCTGCCACCCTCTTCTCCTTTTGCCTTCAATATAGTTATTAGAACTATCTGCTGGTGAAATTGAAGCTTACAAATTTACTCTTTAGGAAACAAAACTATATTATTGAGGTAACATTGATTTATAACATTATATGTTTCATGTGTACAACATTGTATTTCCACTTCTGTATACATATACCCTACCACGTTCTCACTACCAAAAGTTTATTTTCCATTAGATGACCCAACCTCCTTTACCCATTTTGCCCACACCCTCTTCCTTCCCTGCTGATAACCATTACTCTGTTCTCCGTATATACGTATTTATGTTTCTGGTTTGTTCATCATTTTGTTTTTGTTTGTTTATTAGTTTTTAAATACTCTACAAGAGGGAAATCATGTGATGTTTGTCTTTCTCCATCTGACTTGTTTTACTTAGCATAAAATGCTCAAGTTCAATCCATGTTGTTGCAAATGGTAAGGTAACAGCTTTGTTTTTTTTTTATAGCTGATTAGTATTCCATTATATTTATATACCACGTCTTCTTTATCTATTCTTCTGTTGATGGGCACTTCACTTAGTTCATATCTTAGCTATTGTAAATAATGCCAAAGAATGTGAGGGTGCAGATATATTTTCAGATTAGTGTTTTCATATTCTTCGGATAAATACCCAGAAGTGAGATAGCTAGATCATATAGTAGTTCTATACTTAATTTTTGGAGGTATCTCCATACCGTCTCTCTCTATCCACCAATTTACATTCTCACCAGTACTGTATATGAGTTCCCTTTCCTCCACATCATTGCCAACACTTCTATTTCTTACCTTTTTTATAATTGCCATTCTTACAGGTGTAAGGTACTGTCACATTGTGGGTTTGATTTGCGTTTCCATAATAATTAGTGCTGTTGAGCATCTTTTCATGTACCTGTTGGCCTTTTGCATGTTGTCTTTAGAAAATGTCTCTTCAGTTTCTTTACCCATTTTCAAACCAGCCTGTTTTTGTTGTTGAGTTGTATGAGTTCTCTATGTGTTTTGGATATTAACCTCTTATCAGATATATCATTAGCAAAAATCTTCTCCTATTTGGTAGACAGTCTTGTTATAGTGCTAGTTGCCTTTGCTGTGCAAAAGCTTTTTAGCTTGATGTAGTCCCTTTTATTTAGTTTTGCTTTTGTTTTCCTTGCCTGTGGAGACATATCTAAAGAGAGATTACTAAGACCAATGTCAAAGAGCATACTGCCTGTGTTTTCTTCTAGAAGTTTTATTTAGTCTCAGGTCTTACATTTAGTCTCGGGCTTCCCTGATAGCTCAGTTGATCAAGAATCCACCTGCAATGCAGGAGACCTGGGTTTGATCCCTGGGTTGGGAAGATCCCCTGGAGAAGGGAAAGGCTATCCACTCCAGTATTCTGGCCTGGAGAATTCCAGAACTGTATAGTCCATAGGGTCACAAAGAGTCAGACACTACTGAGTGACTTTCACTTGCATTTACATCTTTAGTCCATTTTGAGTTAATTTGTGTGTTTGGTGTGAGACAGTGGTCTATGCCCTAGTTGCAGTGTGTGGGCTTCTCATTGCTGTGGCTTCTCTTGTTGCAGAGCATGGGCTGTAGGCTGCACAGGCTTCGGTGGTTGCAGCGTGAGGGCTCAGTGTTGTGGCCCACAGGCTTAGTTGCCCTTGCAGCATGTGGGATTTTCCTGGACCAGGGATCAAATCCATGTCCCCTGCATTGGCAGGTGGAGTCTTAACCACTGGACCACCAAGAAAGTCCTGTTTGGTTCTTTCTTTCTTTCTAGCTTCAATCTCTTTGGTGAAATATTCCTTCTGTTCATTAATTTTATTCATGAGCTCATTAAACTGCCTTTCTCACTGCTCATTGAATTTCTTCACAACAGCTATCTTGAATTCTTTAACAGTTAAATTGAAGTATTCTTTGACTTTGGTTTCTGGAGAATTGTCATTGTCTTCTTGTGATACAGTGTCGCTGTGAGTCTTTGTGTTGTTTGATGAAGTGTTCCTGAGCTGGTTTTGTTTTGTTTTGTTTTGTTTCGTTTTTCCTCTTTTTTTTTTCCATTTATTTTTATTAGTTGGAGGCTAATTACTTTACAGCATTGCAGTGGTTTTTGTCATACATTGAAATGAATTAGCCATGGGTTTACATGTATTCCCCATCCTGGTCCCCCCCCCCCCCACCTCCCTCTCCACCCGCCTGAGCTGGTTTTGAATGACAGAGTAGGAGTTCGATTTCCTCCAGTAGGTGGCGCAACCACTTAAGTTTTTGGTTTCTTTAACCTGAGCTGCCTCTGGTTTTGAGAGTTGGCCCTTTCCAGCCTCCACCTTCCCTGTAAGAGGTGTGGCTCCATGCCTTATTTGTCACTGCTTTTTGTGCCCCCAGTCTTTGCTGCCTTGCTTCCGCCATAGCCGCTGTTGTCATCTGGACTGTGGGCTCTTTCCTTGTGTTAGGGCTCCCCTTGAGGCACAGGACCTGCTGTGGGGAAAGGTGATGAAGAGGGTGCAGGTGGGGTTGTGGGCACCTTAGATGCTGGAGGGCCAGGGTGCGCGCCTGCCTGAGGCCGTGGGTGCCAGGAGTGGTCAGGGGGCCCCAGTTGGGTGCACCGCCTTCCTTGTGGCTGCCAGTTTCTCTGAAGCTGTGTGTTCCACTACCTCACTCAGAGGGCCAGGTTGCCAGCATGGACTCTGCAGTTGCCCCGCTCCTCTGTGCATTTCAGTCCATCCCCTTTGGGTGTGCAGATGTGTGGAATTCTGCAGTGCCCTGTTGTGCTGGGCAGAAGTACGTTTCACTGGATATAGATTGAAGGGGAGAGACAAAGGTAGTCTTTACCACTCTACCATGTTTCTGAAGTCTGAAAACTGTGTTCTTCAGTTTTAATATGTTTATGTGTCGATTTATTTTTATTTATCCTCCTTTGTGGTTCATTGGAATTTTTATCTGTGCATTGTTAACTTTTCATTAAATCTGGCTAATTCTTAGTCATTATCTCCTCAGTTACTGTCTTTCCCTATATTCATGTCTATAGCCCCCCCTCTGTTTCTCTCTTTTTTGTAGAACCATAATTAAAAATATGTTAAACCTTGTTGGTTTACTTTCCATATCTTTTAACCTCTCTTCTGTAGTCTATATACATTTCTGTTTTCTGTGTTGCATTCTGGGTAATTTTTCTAAATTATCTTCCAGTTTACTAATTTTTAAAAAATTTATTTTTTAATTGAGGGATAATTGCTTTACAGAATTTTGTTTTCTGTCAGACATTAAAATGAATCAGCCATAGGTGTTTATTTTTTATTTCTACCTAATCTGTTATTGAATACACCTATTAAGGTTTTACTTTTGGTTATTATTACTCTATTTTTACTTTCTAATTCTAATATTATTATATTTTTACTTTCTAAAAGTTCTCTTGATTATTTAATTCTGCTAGATTGATTTTTAATAGATTTCAGATCTCTGCAGAAGCTTTCAAGTTAATTTCATTTTTTGTTTGTTTTTACATGTAGTAAGTTTAGTTGTTTTGTAATTCCTCTGGAAATTCAGATATCTAAAGTTTCTGAGGTTTTGTATTAGTTATATTGTTATTTGTGATTCATTGTCTCCTTATATACTTTTTATCTTTGCCTGTGTCCTGCTCATTGACTTTTTTAAAAATGTTTGTAAAATTGGTTGGAATATAGATTGAGTTTGCCTGCCTCCAGAAAGATTTACATTCTCTTCTGCCAGGTGCCTAGCAGTCTACAACCATGTTAATTTAAATGAACAACCTGAAGATTTGTGTGCCACCCAGTTGATGTGAAAATTGAGCTGCAAATCCATGTGAAGGCTAATTTATTTCTTTTTTTTGCTTAGTCTGAGCATGTATCCCTAGGGACTCAACTTAATAAACTCCTCTCCACGTACTATCATGGGTGGATACTGGCTTGAATTTCTGTCCTCTGACCTGTAAAATCATTGAAACCAAAGTTCAGATTAGCCTGGATTAGCAGATAACCTTAAGACAAAAATAGTTGCCACTTTTCCTTTAATTTTGACCTGGTAATTTGTTACTCTTTTGTCAGCTCTCTGATGCTTTTTGGACATGTTTTAAAAATACTTTATCTAAACTTTTTAGTTTCTGTGGGAGGGTTGGTCCAATAATCTAACCCAATCATTTCCAAACATGGAAGTTTTTCATCACATTAGGATAAGTTTTTCCCATAATCGCATTTTCATAATTTTTCCTTTATTCTACCTTTTATCATCCCCAAATTATAAATATCCTTGTGTTATTCTGACATTTTCACAGTTTGATTTTTTCACTAAAATCTTTAGTTCGTTAGGAATTCACTTGTAATTTGTGGTTTGGTTTTTATAATTGATGTTTGAAGCTGTCATCTGAATCTCATATCTTGATTGTATTTCAGGAACATTGGACACCCAGAGCTATTTTGCAGTTCCAGAAGTTGTGTGGTTTGAAGCCATTAGTAGGGGTAGTGGATGAATATGTAGATGGGATCCTGAACATTTTCCTGTGTGATACGTCCTCAAATGAAGATGTCTATTTCCACCATGTTTTGAGGACAGAGGGTCATGCTATTGTATGCCGAGAAAATGTCCCTTCTAAGGTGGAGCACTCTGAATGTATTTTGTAATGTATTTTGTTTAATCTCAACCCTTCAGGGTATAAGAGAATTTAATACAGAAGGTTATTTGATTGATTCTTTAAGAGACATCTGTGAGATGCCTGGCTTACTGAATGCACAGCACCTTCTTAATTTTCACATGACCACAGAAAACTACATTTAGCTTATTGTCTCTCAGAAGGTGAGTGCTTTTATTTTAAATAATGGAGGATTCTGTCTTACCCCCAAGTATTTGATTCTCTGAAGTTTTCTTAGAGAAGAGCAACACTTTCTTATTTTCTAATTATTGATAGCAGTGTCTACATCACCATTAATATTGGTGTTGATCATTTTTGTGGCTAGCAGGCACTATCAGTATGGGGAAAATTCTATTAAATTTTAGAAGATAATACATTTCCACAACATTTGAGGATTATGGAGTGCTGTTTCCGTTTTTTTCCTGAGAAACTAAACTCTTCCTCCTCCTCTTTCTTATCTTAGGGTTTCAGAGACCTCAACCCTTTAGCTTTATACACTAAATCCAGTGTGAGGCCTGAGGACATTGTCCTGAAAGAGCTGGGCTATTCTTCCCAGCAGCACTATTTTAACGAAGACCGAGAGATCAGTCCACAATCAAAAAAGAGTGACTTATATACCCTGGTAAGAGGTTTTTGCAAATATTGTCATATTCTTTTTATAATTGTTAATATTTAATGAGTACTTACTGTATGCCAAACACTATAAAAGGCACTTTAAATATATTATTTAATACTCATAAAATGCTTGTGATGTAGTGACTATGTGCTTAGTTGCTCAGTCATATCCGACTCTTTGCAACCCCATGGACTGTATGCCATCAGGCTCCTCTGTCCATGCGGATTCTCCAGGCAGGAATACTGGAGTGGGTTGCCATGCCCTCCTCCAGGGGATCTTCCCAACCCACGGATCAAACCCCGGTCTCCCGCATTACAAGTGGATTCTTTACCATCTGAGCCACCAGGGAAGCCCAAGAATACTGGAGTGGGGAGCCTATCCCTTCTCCAGAGGATCTTCCCGACCCAGGAATTGAACCAGGGTCTCCTGCATTGCAGGCGGATTCTTTACCAGCTGAGCTAACCAGGGAAGTTGTAGTGACTATAATTAACCTTATTTTAGCAATGAGGAAACTGAGGCATTTGCAAACCTGGGGAAGTTTGGAAACTACACAGTAATCTCAACAGTTACCTTGTCTCTCATCATTTGCTGGTTTAAACCTTGATTTCAGCCATGATTTTTCCTGCATAATTTCTCTCATATACTGAATTCTGCCACCACCTTGGTGCAGTTGTGACCTTACCTGCATGGATCCAAATGCTATTTTTTCTTCCCTCTGCATACTTGAGATGTTTTTGAAGTGTTCTCATTTCTAACTTTGCTGTAAACGTCATGGCAACTCCTACCTACAGTAATAACAATATTATTATTATGTATTATTCCATACCACAGTTCAGTTCACTTGGTCAGTTGTGTCCAACTCTTTGCAACCCCATGGACTACGGCACACCAGGCTTCCCTGTCCATCACCAACTCCCAGAGTTTGCAGAAACTCATGTCCATTGAGTCAGTGATGCCATCTAACCATCTCATCCTCTGTCATCCCCTTCTCCTGCCTTTAATCTTTCCCAGCATCAGGGTCTTTTCAAATGAGTCAGTTCTTCACATCAAGTGGCCAAAGTATCGGAGTTTCAGCTTCAGCATCAGTCCTTTCAATGAATATTCAGGACTGATCTCCTTTAGGATAGACTGGTTGGATCTCCTTGCATTCAAGGGACTCTCAAGAGTCTTCTCCAACACCACAGTTCAAAAGCATCAATTCTTGAGCACTCATTTTTCTTTATGATCCAACTCTCACATCCATACATGACTACTGGAAAAACCATAGCTTTGACTAGATGGACCTTTGTTGGCAAAGTTATATCTCTCCTTTTTAATACGCTGTCTAGGTTGGTCATAGCTTTTCTTCCAAGGGGCAAGCGTCTTTTAATTTAATGGCTGCAATCACCATCTGCAGTGACTTTGGAGCCCAAAAAAATAAAGTTTGTCATTGTTTCCACACCTATTTCCCAGGAAATGATGGGACCAGATGCCGTGATCTTAGTTTTCTGAAGTTGAGATTTAACCCAACTTTTTCACTCTCCTCTTTCACTTTCATCAAGAGACTTTTTAGTTCTTCTTTGCCTTCTGCCGTAAGTGTGGTGTCATCTGCATGTCTGAGGTTATTGATATTTCTCCTGGCAATCTTGATTCCAGCTTGTGCTTCCTCCAGCACAGCGTATCTCATGATGTACTCTACATATAAGTTAAATAAGCAGAGTGACAATATACAGCCTTGACATACTCCTTTCCTGATTTGGAACCAGTCTGTTGTTCCATGTCCAGTTCTAACTGTTGCTTATTGACCTGCATACAAATATCTCAGGAGACAGGTCAGGTGGTCTGGTATTCCCATCTCTTGAAGAATTTTCCACAGTTTGTTGTGATCCACACAGTCAAAGGCTTTGGTATAGTCAATAAAGTAGAAGCAGATGTTTTTCTGGAACTCTGTTGCTTTTTTGATGATCCAGTGGATGTTGGCAATTTGATCTCTGATTCCTCTGCCTTTTCTAAAACCAGCTTGAACATCTGGAAGTTCACAGTTCACATACTGTTGAAGCCTAGCTTGGAGAATTTTGAGCATTACTTTGCTAGTGTGTGAGATGAGTGCAATTGTGCAGTAGTTTGAGCATTCTTTGGAATTGCCTTTCTTTGGGATTGGAATGAAAACTGACTTTTTCCAGTCCTGTGGCCACTGCTGAGTTTTCCAAATTTGCTGGCATATTGAGTGCAGCACTTTCACAGCATCATCTTTCAGGATTTGAAATAGCTCAACTGAAATTCCATCACCTCCACTAGCTTTGTTCATAGTGATGTTTCCTGAGGCCCACTTGACTCTGGACTCCAGGATGTCTGACTCTAGTTGAGTGATCGCACCATCGTGATAAAAAGATAACAGTGACACTTACTGTACTTGTACTATGTGGCAGGCGCTGTTCTGAGTACTTGCATGTACTTGTTAAGTTAATCTTCACAACCACTTTACCAGGTTGTTTCTTTAAGATCCCCATTTTAGATATATGTAAAGTGAAGCACATTAGTAAATAATAAGTTAAATGACTTTTCAACAAATGAGCAGATAAATAGACATGTCTTCGAAGTCTCTCATATTCCTCATGGCAATAAGTACTGAGCTAAAAATATAGGTTGGGCTCAGTTTGAGAGTCCCCAAATTTATTTTTTCTGGACATGACAAAGCTTTTTTCTTTGAATAAAATATGAAAATATTGTTTTGTAAGTATGTTTTATATATCTGACTTTTTAAATTATAGGGATAATGTTATTTTGTTAGTGGACTTGCATTTTTAGAAAAGATAAAAAGGAAAAGCTATTTTGCTGTACCCCTGAAACTAACACAACATTGTAAATCAATTATATTTCAATAAAAAATTTTTTTCAAAAGAGCATTTGACTACTGGGAGATTAACCTACTCTGAAAAATGTGTATGAATATTTACTGCTGCATGTTTAAAGCAATATCAACGTTTTAGATTTCATTTTAGTTTAAAGCTAGTTAAAATTAATTGGGCTTGTTTAACCTGTCAAACTTTCTGAAATCTGAATTTTTGTTAGTCCTTATTACTTGATTAGAACAGTTATGTTTCCTGTTCAGTATACATCTTCCTTCTCCAGTATTATTTTGGTCAGTGTGACATCTCTGTGTTGGTTCTACACTGAAGGTTGTGCTGCGATTATCTGATTGTGTATCTTCATTGCTGTAGTTGAGCTCTTAGAGCTGGGCCCCTGCTGCATTCATCTTAAATAGGGAATTGAATTTTCAGCCTTAAGAGATTTTAGAATATCTTATCATCACTGTGTTGATGTCTTTAATCATAGTTCAGTCCTGAAAATGAAATAAGGCCATCTTTTCTGCAAAGAGATAAGGCCTAAAGCTTCTCCATTGTACACCAGCCTGTATTTTAACATATCAAGACTCCCACATGCTACATACACACACAAACCTACCTCTATACACCTTGTTGTTGTTTAGTCACTAAGTCGTATCCAATTCTTTTGTGAGCCCGTGGACTAGATCCCACCAGGCTCCTCTCTGTCCATGGGATTCTCCAGGCAAGAATACTGGAATGGGTTGCCATTTCTTTCTCCAGGCGATCTTCCCAACCCAGGGATCAAACCCGTGTCTCCTGCATTGGCAGACAGATTCCTTACCGCTGAGCCAGCAGGGAAGCCCCTCTATACATCTGATTCCCTCCAATCCTTGCTTTTCTTTTAGGCATCCTAACAGTTTGATTTATCTCCTTTATTACATGTTCTCAGACATCTTCCTTCTCCAGTATTATTTTGGTCAGTGTGACATCTCTGTGTTGGTTCTACACTGAAGGTTGTGCTGCGATTATCTGATTGTGTATCTTCATGCTGTATTTGAGCTCTTAGAGCTGGGCCCCTGCTGCATTCATCTTTATACCCACAGAGCCACCCTGTACACATTACATAATGTGTACTCAGTGATTGTTAACCTGTGTATGCATCCTCAGTCGTGTCCAACTCTTTGCTACCCAATGGACTGTAGCCACAGGCTCCTCTGTCCATGGGATTCTCCAGGCAAAAATACTGGAGTGGTTTGCCATTTCCTCCTCCAGGGGATCTTCCTGACCCTGGATTGAACCCGTGTCTCTTATGTCTCCTGCATTGGCAGGCAGATTCTTTACCACTGCACCACCTGGGAACCCCTTGGCCTGAACTAATTTAACAGGATGGGAATGCCTAGGGTCAGTGCATAAAGTGAGAAAATAATGTTGCATATTCATGAACCATAGTGAAAACTTGCCCCCAGAATTTATAGGTGTATAAATTTTGGAAACAGCATTACTATAGAAAATAAAATAATTTCTCTTTTTTATCTACTAGCAAGATATTAAGGATGAAAAGACTTTCAGTCACCTTAGATCAGTCACCTCAGAGGAGCCATTAAAGGATTCTAAATTACATTCTTTGAAAATACAAGATAAGAGCTCTGAAGAAGATCCAAAGTGGTCCATCCCAGAGCTAAAGGATCTGAAAGAAGAAAATGAGGTAGGAGAAGGGGATATAGCTTTTTAAAAATGTAATTAATAAATTAATAAGTGAAGGAGACTGAAGTAAAATAGCTCTTTATGCCGTATTCTTGTGGTGCCATCAGAGCATCTCCCATAGATGAATTACAAACTCTTCAGCGATCACCACGACCAAAATTTCAGCAATGTAGCCTCGATCAGAAAAAAGAAAAGCCACTATCTAACTCCTGGGAAATTTTGAAGAATTATGCAGTGATTAGAAAGTAGTATTGAGAAATAGTGTTACGAAGACCCATCAAGAAAAATGTTTGACAGCTCTCTTTGCAGGACATATTTTAATCAAATGTCCATGTGCTCACAGCTTTTTTCTTTTTTTTTCCCAAAAAAAAAAAGAAAAAACCAAATGTTTATGTATGCATAGCTTAGAGTTCCCCATAACCCCTTCCCCTTCATTTCCTATTTCACAGAGGAACCATTTTCATTTCTTTTAATGTCTTCTTTTGGAATTTGTCTCTATTTCTTTCATTAAATAGCATGCTTATATTGTTATTTCCTTATTTTTCAGTTTTAAGTATGTATGGCCTTCCTAGCATGAGAGATGAAGGTTTAGTTCTCTTTCATCTCTTGTCCCCCACCCCAGACAAAAATATCCTTTCTGTTCTCTCATCATCTTACTAATATGTCAAACTTTCCATTAGGTCACCATTCATTCAATATTTTGTTATTGTGACTCTGTAAATGCTATATACAGTTAAGTAATATGTGATGTCAGGTTTTCCTTTCCTGCATAACTTTTATTTTCTCTGGTGTTTATTTTCTTTCTAAGTGAATATATAGTAAGCAATTGACTTTGTACTCAGGGTACTGTCCTATCAATTTTAATACATGTATAGATTTATGTAACCACCACCATAATCAGGATACAGAATGGTTCCATCATCTGAAAAAACTCCCTGATGCTACTCCTTTATAATCACATCTCCCCAAATCCCTAATCCCCTAGCAAGCATTTCTGTTTTCTGTCTCCATAATTTTACCTTTTCAGGACTGTCAATTAAGTGGAATCATGTGCTATGTAACTTCCCAATAGAAACTTCTTTGATTCAGCATAGTACCTTCATTTAAATCATTGCATGTATCAATAGTTCATTTCTGTTGATGAGTAGTATGGTATGGATATACCACAGTTTGTATATACATGCATCCATTGAAAGACATTATGGTTATTTAGTGTATGAATTGATCTTCTATATTTTGGTATGAATGGATCTTCCATAAATATTCATGTAAAGGCTTTTTAATAAACATAATCAAGAGTCGGATTGCTGGTTCATGTGGTAAATGTATGCCAGATTTTTACAGACTGGCTGTACCATTTTGCATTCCTATCAGCAGTATGTGAGTTCCAGTTGTTCCATATCTTATCAGCACTTGATATTGTCAGGAATTTTTATTTTTAACCATTTTCATAGGTGTGCAATAGTAGTATCACAGTGTGGTTTTAATCTGCATTTCCCTAATGACTGTGATATTGACCATCTTATCATGTGCTTATTTGCCATTCACATGTATTTCTTGGTGAAATGCCAGTTAAAGTCTCTTGCCCATTTTTTGAATGAGTTGTTTGTTTTCTTACTATTGGGTTTTGAGTATTCTTGATATGTTCTGGATATGTTCTGGATATCTCTTTATCGGATTTGTGATTTTCAAATAGTTTCTCCCACTTGTAGCTTCATTCTCTTAATGGTGTCTTCCATATAGGAAAGGTTTTTAATTTTGACAAAGTACATCATTTTTTTTTCTTTTATGTACTGTGTTTTCAGTTTCAAAACATCTTGATTTAATTTTAGTATAAAGGGTGAGATTTAGGTTAAGGTTATGGATGTTCAGTGGTTTTAGTGCTATTTGTTGGAAAGACTATGCTTTATTGAATTTTAAAATATTTTTTGACATCATATTTTATATCTTTTTGTTTTATGTATCTCTTAACTACTTATTGTAGATATAGACAATTTTACTTTTAACTTTCCTTTATAAGTAGTTGTTATAAGTTATTCTTAGCTTTATAAGTAGTTGATCTATTACCTTTACCATATGTTTGCTTTTACCATTGAGATTTTTCTTATAATTTTTATATGTCTAATTGTGATCTTTTCTGCTTTAAGAAGTCCCTTTAACATTTCTTGCAAAACTGATGCTGAACCCTTGTAGACTTTTTGATGATGGCCATTCTGACCAGTGTGATGCCCCATTGTAGTTTTTGATTTGCGTTTCTCTAATAGTGAGCAATGTTGAACATCTTTTCTTGTGTTTATTAGCCATATGTCTTGTCTTTTTTGGAGAAATGTCTGTTTAGGTCTTCTGCACCCTTTTGATTGGATTGTTTGTTTTTCTGGTATTGAGCCTCATGAGCTGACATTAAATGAGTTGCTCTTGTTTTCATTCTCACTTTATACCCTCAATTTCAAAAAACTTCACAGTAGTAGTTCCTGAACTTTTGCAGTATTTATGGTATAAGTTGGGTTGCTTCTCAGATTTTCCTCCTAAAAGCTCAGGATTCCACTTTCTCAGGACTACTTAATAAGTTGTACCTTGTCTGATTTCCTGTATCCAGAACATAGGTGATGTTTTCCCCTCTTATTTCTCTTTGACTATAAGTTTATACCTTGAATCTATTTTATTTTGGTGCTATGTCAGAAGGGGAGAGCATAATGAATTGCATATTCCAACTGCCATCTTTACCCAGAGTCAGGAAAAATTGTAAACCTAAATTTCAAAATGTATTCATATAGGAACAATAAATTAAAGTTTTTCTTTGTTCCCTAGGATGAGATCCCCACTGGAATGCCTTGCCTGGAGTCAGTAACCATAGGTGATGATATTTGGGATGAGAACTGGTTACCTTTGCAGGCTAAAATGGGAAAAGAAAGTGATGTTGCCTCTCACTTATTTACCTCAAGCCTTGGTGGAAAGAAACCATATTCATCATGTAAAGAATTGCCACAGAAGGTTAGATCTTTGGAAAAACATAAAGAAAATCATTACTGAAAAAGGAACTGTTAATGTAATTATCCAAGCCTCAGAAAAGCTGTACATTCTGCATTTCATGAGGATTTCTCAGACAGTAATTCAGAAGAATGCATTTCCTGTCCGCTTCCTCCCTGCAAAGAAGACAGTGTTAGGGATGGAGACAGGATGAAACAGGGGAGAATAAACCATGGACATACTGTGTCTGTCTACCCTATCAGTCATTATGATTTTTGTTTTATTGTTGGCACCTAGTCAAGGTCTTAGAAACTAGAAATAAAGTGTTTTCCCTAATTTAATTTTTGTTGCTTTAACCTTATAATATCTGGATCTGAGTATATTTACTAATATTGGACCCTATATATTTAAATTTTAATTTATATCCCACTGGCTACCAGAAAGAAGATACATCAACACTTAAGTTTCTGCTTGTTATTTGTGCCATTTTAATACTGAATGATTAGAAAAATCAACTAGCCATGAAGAATGTATTAAAGATGATACTACAAACACTTTTATGAGATCTCTGTATTCAAAGGAATTCAGTGTGTTGGGTTTGGACCAGTAAAGCAAAAGGGAAAACTCACATTGATAAGAAAGTTAATAAATATCTTTTCTTGTTTAGTTAGTATACACTGCCTCTTTGCCTTTGCCTTGCCCAGGTTATCCTCCATATGAATCACGTGGCACTATATCTCGGTTTAGTATTGCAGTATTTTTTTTCTCTGTAGGATTGGTGTTTTTCTTCACCCAAAGATATATGGGATGATTCATGGCAGCCTTCAGGCCTTGTGAACGGAATGAAAGAAGTTCAAATACCAGAAGGACTGGGTGCTCAAGAAAAACATTTTGACGCACCCAGGATTCAAAAGGTAAGTGTCTAATGAGTGTTACTGTGACAAGTTTTTTTTGAGGAAGTGCTTTCAGTTTTAGAAGGTGAGATTCTGGTGAATGATCTTAGCATTTGGTAGAATACATATATGTAAAAATGTATGTTTATTTAAAAATTAATTTCAGTTATCTTACTATAGTTATTCATAGAAAATTCTGAGCCTAGAATTAGAAGATTGATGAAACATTAGGGATAGAGAAAACAGGTATTTTCACATTTTAAGTTCTGTAGCTGCCCAGTCATCTAGGCGAGTTTTTTCTATTTTGTTGCTTTAGTAGAAAGCACTAACCTGGAATAAAATCCATTTGTTTTGTGTTTCTCAAATATATTATGAGCATCCTGAAAATAGGACAATTTGTGTGAATCATGAAATTTGGCTAGTGGTCTCTGTACTTTTGTGCAGTACACTGAAAATGAAGGACATCATGTCTAGACTTGTTAAAAAAGCAGAGTTGTGGAAGATGAACCTTCTGAGTGATATATTTTCTACAGAATGTGATTACTTTGCATGAGATTATTGATAAAGTATGCTGTATCACATAAAACAGTCTGTTTCATAAATGTAGGTTTCTTAAAGCACAGATTTAGTTTTAAGATAAAGTTTTTTGTTTTGTTTATTCATGCATCAGCTGATGGACATTTGAGTTATTTCTGCTTTTCTGCTATTATGAATAATGCTGCTGTGACATGTGTGTATGTGTTTCTACGTGGACATATGTTTTCAGTTTTCTTAGGTATATACCCGGGAGTTGAATTACTAGGTTCTGTGGTAATAAATCTAGCCCCTCCCACCCTACCCACCACCCACCCCCCGGTGGCTCAGCAGTAAAGAATACACCTGCAATGTAGGAGACACAGGAGATGTGGGTTTGATCCCTGGGTTGGGAAGATCCTCTGGAGAGAGGAATGGCTATTCCCCTCCAGTATTCTTGCCTGGGAAATTCCATGGACAGAGGAGCCTGGTGGGCTACAGTTCATAGGGTCATAAAGAGTAGGACATGACTAAAGCGACTAAGCATACATACACACACGTGGTAACTCTATGTTTAGTATTTTGAGGAGCTGCCAGACTGTTCTAAGCAGTTGCACCATTTTATATTCCCACCAGCAATCTAAGAGTATTCCAATTTGGTCCACATCTTTGCCGGCACTTGTTATTATCTAATTTTTAAAATTATCGCCATCCTAGTGGGCATGAAGTTTTATGTTATTGTGGTTTGGGGCTGTGCTTTTGATTACATATGTTAATGTTTTATAAATCATGAACATATTTCTTGAAAGTTGCCACTAACCTCTGGTCCTGTAAGGGTATATTTTCAGACAAGCATTAAGGAGTCTTTGATTGATAACTACAGAGCGAGAATCTGGCAGAGCAATGCTTCTTGAACTACACTGTTCATAGCGATCACTTGAGAATCTTGTGAGACTGCAGATTCTGATTGAGCAGAACTGGGCTGGGGACTAAAGTTCTCGATGTCTTAGAAGCTTCCAGGTGATGCTCACGCTGCTTGGTGGTGAATCACACTTTGAACAGCAGTGCTCTAAACTGCTATGTGGAGGAAGAGACTCTTAACTTTTCACTTATGTGCTTAAACTGCCCACAGGTACTTGCTTTCATAGTGGCATACAAATTTAGTAGGCATTCACCTATGTTCTTTTTTTCAGAGTGAAAAACTGTCAGAATGCATCTTCAATGTATTTTAGCCATTTGTCTTTCTTCAAAATCATATTTATCAGGAAAGGGAAAAAATGCAGCTTTTAGAAAACTATTTCTGATTTTGACTGAGGGGAATGGTAACTACTCCAGTATTCTTGCCTAGAGAATTCCATGGATAGAGTAGCCTGGTGGGCTACAGTCCATGGGGTTGCAAAGAGTCGGACACGACTGAGCAACTAACACATAGTTTCACACACTGCTAAAAATAGGCAGCAGGGCTTAGTGTAAAAAAACACTTGCCTGAGAATTCTATAATTTAGAGCTTAAGCTTTACCACAAGTTTGAGCAAGTTGCCTTTTGGGGCCTTAAGGTATCCATCTGCAAAAACTGATTTTGACTAATGATCTTTTCAGCCATAAAATCTTATCATATTAATGTTTACTTACTTAATTATCATCGAAGCTTCATTTTAAGAGAGAGTAAACCTAATGGGTAACTAAAGCACATACATGAAGTTGCATAAATTAATCAAAAATTTGAATCCAGGTCTTTGCTTTCCTGAAGTAGCATATTAAATGGTAAGGTAACTATGTGGGCTTTTAGAGATTTCATTTTTGCTGCCCCAAAAAAGAAGCACAGCCATTTTTATATAATGTAATTATATAAGCCATATCCTTGCCAGCCATGTTTAAAAATGAACAAGGTTTTTTTTGTCATGGAAGAGAAAAGGAAAGCCAACTGATATTGAATGTCTTAACACAGCAGTCTAAAGAACACACAAAGCTACATTTTCTATTTGTATAATTTTTGTTTGAGTTTACTCGAGGCAGATCCCAGGCCCTAAGCCACTTGTGTGGGTTTATTATGGCAGCTCCTAGTGTGGCCCGCCTAGCTGTGTTAATGCCAGTTACCATCACTTTATCTTCTAGTGCCCGTTAGGAAGATAAATGCCCTGAGTCACCCTGGACTGTAACTATTTCAGCAATGCTCTGTAGGAAGATATAGGATCTATTGATTAAAACTTGGCAGTTTACTTTAGCACAAATTGAGGCTTTGTTTGGGAATTCCATCTTTTCCTCTCAAACCTTGGTTCTTGGTACTCCATTTTGTCACTTCTCCTGAGGAGCCTTCCTTTAAAGCCGGTGTGTTCTCCTAGCGTGTTGTTGATGCTGCAGACGCAGTTAATGCCTCCTTCACGGGCACCTACAGGCCAGGTTCTGTTTTCCTAGCTGAGAATCATGAGCTCTTCGGGGAGAGGGGTCGTATCTACTGGGAGGTGGTGTGATGGAGCAGAGAGTGCATAGGTGAGCCTGAATTTGGATCTGTGCCTTGTCCCTTACTGGTTGACACTGGATAACTTGCTCCGTCTCTTGCGAAAAGCTTTCTGCTAAGTGAAAGAAGCCATAATACAGAAGACACAATGACACCTAACTTAGAACAATGTTTTGATGTTTCGGTGAAGAAACATGTGCTAACAGCCTGGCACTGTGCCTGACAATGAGTGCTCAGTGAATGTTATTTCTCTCCTTCCCTGCCATTTTTCCCTGGCTGGCATAGCAGTCCTGAGTACCATGTTTGCTCATAATATGTGTTCAGTAAACACTTCTTAAATTAATGGTCCCTCAGTTAGAGAAGGACTTGCTTTCCAGAGAGTATCTGGATTCTTAAAAGTAGGGAGTTTTATTTATGATACAAAAATATTCTTTTGTATATAAATGAGGAAACAAAATAGACAGTTCTTACTGTTAAACTAACAGTAACTTTTCATGCTTTTGCCCCATTTCCCCCATTCTGTAGCAACCAAATGTAGAGAGTGCCTCAGATTCTCCCGTGTTGCCCAAACTGGAGGAGTTCTACATCTCTCTTATCCAGTCACAGCAGTCAGCAGAAAGCAGCCAGTTTGAGCCTAGCAACATTCAGACTCCACCAAAGCAAATTCAGCTGTCCTCAACTCCTGTATTGGTCAATTCTGGGTCAGGTAGGTTGACCGTTGACAGATGCAGTGGTTTGCCGTGTTGCTGAAAACTTTTATCTTTTTCAGAACATAACTTGAAAAATTACAAATGTTAGCATTTGTCTCAAATCCTCGTGTTATTTTTGGACTTAGTTTTTCCTTTTCACTTTGCCACTCTTCTTTTTTTCTGCAGTTTGGGGAGATGGTCAGGTTTATGCACCTTGAAGTTTGCCAGTTTTTAAATAGGAAATTCTGTGCGTTCTGACAGAAGTGTACAGTCCTGTAGGCAGCGCTACAATTATGATAATAGAACATTTTTGTCAGTCTGAAAAGCTTCATATGTCTTTGCAGTCATTCTCTTTTACTTCTTGTTGGCTTCTGGCATGTTACTTTCTCTTTTCTAGAATTTCATATAAAGGAAATCACAGTATGTAGTTTTTATGGCTGACTTCTTTCATTTAGCACAGTGTTCTAGAGATTCATCTATGTTGTTGCCAATGTCTAATGTTTTTTCTTATTTCTTGCTGAGTAGTACACAGTAGTATGGACATACGACAGTTTGTTTATCTGTTCACCAGATGATGGGTTATTTCCAGATTTGGGTCATGAGTCAAACTGCTGTGAATGTTCAGCTCTTTGTATAGACATGTATTTTTTATTTCTATTCATTAAGTACCTAGGAGTGGAATTTCTGGGTCATATGCTGACTGCATGTTTAGCTTTTTAAGAACTGTCAAAATATTTTCCAAAGTAACTGTGCCGTTTGGTAATTCACATCAGCAATGTACTTGATTGTTGATTCCTTTGTATTCATGCCAACATACTATATCTCCAATCTTTTAAATTTTCCCATTTTAGTGGATATGTAGTGGTATCTTATTGCAGTTTTAATTTATACTTCCCTGTTTGCCAGTGACGTTGACTGTGTTTTCCTGTGTCTATGTGCCATTTGAATTACCTGTTTAAGTATTTGTGTATTTCTATTGGATTATGTTTTTATTGGCTTGTAAAAATTCTTCATTCTGGACACAAAACCTTTGTCAGATGCTTATATTGCAAATATTCCAAGTATATGGCCTGCGTTTTCATCTCCTTAACAGTGTTCTTGGAAGAGCAAGTTTTCCTTTTGATAAAATCAGATTTGTTAATTGTTTTTTCTTTATGGTTTGAACTTTTTGTGTCCTATTTAGAAATCTTTCCTAACTAAATAATTAACTTTCTCTTACATTTTCTTATAAAAGTTCTATAGTTTTAGGTCTTACATTAGGTCTGTGATCCAGTTGTTAATTTTTGTGTGTGGTGTAAGGATCAATGTTTATTTTGATTACATACACGTATTCAGTTGTTCCAGTATGATTTATTGAAAAGGCAGTTCTTGCTCCTTTTAACTGCCTTGATGTCTTTGGCAAAAGCAAATAAGTTGTGTATGTGAGGGTCTATTTCCTGACTTTAATTATGTTCTCCTGCGATTAGGTCAGCCTTTATACCCCTCTCTTGATTTCTGTGGTTTTATAATAAGTCTTGAAATCATACAGATTTGTTTTTTTTTTTATTGTTTTGACTATTCCAGGTCATTTTCCATATGAATTTTAGGATTAACTTAATTTCTACAGAAAGGCTGCTAAAGTCTTTATTGAGTTAAAAAAAAAATCTCTAGATTAATTTGGGGAGAAGTGACGTGTTAACAGTATTGAGTTTTCTTCTCTATGAGCATAATATAACCTTTTCTTTTTCTGTGCTTAATATGTTCTTTTCCTGTCTGGTGTATTTTTCATCTCAGAAGTTCAATTTCTAATCTATAGGGGGTTTTTTTGTATCTTCCCTCTTTCTCCTCAGTGTACTCATCATTCACTTCTTGAATGCTTTGAGTGTTCTTGTGACAGCTGTTTTAATACCCTTATCTTGTGATTCCAGCATATGTATCATTTCTGCATTCTGTCATCTGTCATTTCTGAACTGGCTTCTACTGAGTGGTTTTTCTCTTGATTACAAGTCATATTTTTCTGCTTTTTTTGCACATCTGATAGTTTTTTATTGGATGGCAGGTACCAAATCACACATTGGTTTGTTGTTGTTGTTGTTTCTTTTTTTCATATATTTTTATTAGTTGGAGGCTAATTACTTTACATTATTGTTGTGGTTTTTGCCATACATTGACATGAATCAGCCATGGATTTACATGTGTTCCCCATCCCGATCCTGTCTCCTGCCTCCCTCCCCATCCGATCCCTCTGGGTCTTCCCAGTGCACCAGCCCTGAGCACTTGTCTCATGCATCCAACCTGGGCTGGTGATCTGTTTCACCCTTGATAGTATACTTGTTTCAGTGCTATTCTCTCAGAACATCCCACCCTCTCCTCCCACAGAGTTCCAAAGTCTGTTCTGTACATCTGTGTCTCTTTTTCTGTTTTGCATATAGGGTTATCGTTACCATCTTTTTAAATTCCATATATATGTGTTAGTATACTGTATTGGTCTTTATCTTTCTGGCTTACTTCACTTTGTATAATGGGCTCCAGTTTCATCCATCTCATTGGAACTGATTCAAATGAATTCTTTTTAATGGCTGAGTAATATTCCATTGTGTATATGTACCAAAGCTTCCTTATCCATTCGTCTGCTGATGGGCCTCTAGGTTGCTTCCATGTCCTGGCAATTATAAACAGTGCTGCGATAAACATTGGGGTACACGTGTCTCTTTCAGATCTGGTTTCCTCAGTGTATATGCCCAGAAGTGGGATTGCTGGGTCATATGGCAGTTCTATTTCCAGTTTTTTAAGGAATCTCCACACTGTTCTCCATAGTGGCTGTACTAGTTTGCATTCCCACCAACAGTGTAAGAGGGTTCCCTTTTCTCCACACCAGCATTTATTGCTTGTAGACTTTTGGATAGCAACCATCCTGGCTGGCGTGTCATGGTACCTCGTTGTGGTTTTGATTTGCATTTCTCTGATAATGAGTGATGTTGAGCATCTTTTCATGTGTTTGTAAGCCATCTGTATGTCTTCTTTGGAGAAATGTCTGTTTAGTTCTTTGGCCCATTTTTTGATTGGGTCATTTATTTTTCTGGAATTGAGCTGCAGGGGCTGCTTGTATATTTTTGAGATTAATCCTTTGTCTGTTGCTTTGTTTGCTATTATTTTCTCCCATTCTGAGGGCTGTCTTTTCATCTTGCTTATAGTTTCCTTTGTTGTGAAAAAGCTTTTAAGTTTAATTAGGTCCCATTTGTTTATTTTTGCTTTTATTTCCAATATTCTGGGAGGTGGGTCATAGAGGATCCTGCTGTGATTTATGTCGGAGAGTGTTTTGCCTATGTTCTCCTCTAGGAGTTTTATAGTTTCTGGTCTTACATTTAGATCTTTAATCCATTTTGAGTTTATTTTTGCAAATTACACATTGTTGACTGAATGACTGAATCTTTTTCTTCTCTCTTTCCTTCCTTTCTTCCCTCCCTCCCTGCTGTCTATATAGTATCTATCTATCAATTGTTTGGGGGTAATTAAATTATGTGAAATTGATATGATTATTTCTGCATTTATTTTAGATTTCATTTGTCTGATTAGAAAAGCCTTTAGTCTGTCGGCCCTGATAGGCAGTACCTTTCTGAGGGCATTGATGGGATTTGATGTCCTACAGGTATCTTTACCCTGTAGCTAGTGGGAACACAGACTGTTTTGCCCCAACATAAACTGCAGTGATTGTTCTGCCTACTCCTTTCAGATAGGTTTTCTCCCTGGCCTTGGTGGTTTTCTCACAGGCATGAGCCAGGTCACTTCTCCAGCCTAAGCCTCAAAGGGACCTCTCTGCAGGTCTCCAGCTGCTTCCCTGCCTATAGCTAGCTGCTTTCTCACTTGTACTTTCCCCACTAATTCCAGACACCTTTGCTGTTTCGTCACTCAGTCGTGTCCAATCTTTGCGACTCGGTGGACTGTGGTTCCCCAGGCTCCTCTGTCCTTGGCTTTCTTGAATTCCAAGCTCTGTCTTCTCACCGCACCAAGACCTCCAGGCCCAGTGTGGACTCTCCCTCCGTGTACTTCAGCCTGGGCTTTATCTGGGCCGTGAGCTCAGGCACTCGTGAAGCTTACTGCATTTGTTTCCCATTTCTCAGGGATTGCTGTCACGTAAGCTTGTTGGTCAACGTCTGAGAGCTGTTGTTTTATTTATTTTGTCCAGTTTTCTAGTTGTTTAAAGCAAGAGAGATTGTTTTTCAATCCTGGTTTAATTAGCATCATGTCTGGAAGCTGAACTTTTGTTGCACTCCTAAATTCTTTCATGTGTCCCTGCTTTCATATTTTTATAACTTTTAAAATCTGAACTCATAAATGGCTTCATATAAAACCCATTATTTTACTAAGACTCACCATCTCTTTTCCACTCCAGTGAGCATTAATGATAGTCTTGTGTTCAGAGTTTTACTTTTGAGAATATCTTGTCAAATTCTCCTTAATTTATCACAAATGTATGGCACATATATCACACGCCTAGTGCACTAAATGCTAAAGATAGAAAGATGGATAGGATATTGGATTGTACCTGCTTTTTCTGAGGTATTTTTTTGAAGTCTGTAATTTTAGGGTCTAGAGCAATGCTTTTCAGAATGTAGTCAGCATACCAGTACTTGTCTATGAAGCATTTGTGATGATGGACAACACAGTAGCACTTTGCTTAGCTCACCTAGAGTTTTTTCCCTAAAGCAGGACTTTCTTGAAGGAAGCAGTGTGTTGGCTTAGGTGCTGGCACCAGCTCCTCCCATTGTAGGCAGGTAAGAAACAATTCATAGACCAGCTCCTTCAGTATCCCTGGTCCAGAGTACACACACAAGGTGCCTCATATCCTCTTCTTTGCTCTTAGGAACTCTTGGCATTGGAGTTCCCAGCAATTTATCTCATGGAAAAGACCCTTCTTAGTTAAACTAATTCCCAAGGAATTCTTTTTATGGCTGATAACTGGTTTTTGGAATTTCTTAGCAAACACAGTCTTGTTCAGTTTTGTTTTTACACAGGCAGATGTGGAATTGGAATGACTTTGGCAACAGAGAAGGCCTATGGGATACTATTTTGCTCACTGCTGGAAGGAAATAGGAGAGCTTAAGGATTCTTTCATGGAATTGGAATTATATCCAGTTTATTTTTATGATGTCCTAGAAAGAGATCGCCCTTTTCTTGTTCACAAATGTTTTTCCTCTCATCTTTGACCTCACTCTGACCTTCCTCCTCCTTTGACCTCACTCTGACAAGAATTTATCTCGATGCATGATCCCCCATCCTCATTTCCTTTCCATTTGTTGACTGGTTTCTGAGCTTCATTCTCTCTTCATTTGCCATTGGTAATTTCAGCACCTAACCATAAGATGGGGTTTCCTTGTGGCTCAGTGGTAAAGAGTCTGCCTGCCAATGCAGGAGACGTGGGTTCAATTCCTGGGTCAGAAAGGTCCCCTGGAGAAGGAAATGGCTACCCTTTCCTGGAAAATCACTTGACAAAGGAGCCTGGCAGGCTACAGTTCATGGGATTGCAAAAGAGTCAGATGACTTAGCAATTCAACAATGACAACAACAATAAATCATAAGATCATTGTAACAGATGTTAGTAAAGATGTAGACTGGGAGAGTGTGAGGACCTCCTGAAAAGACCTTTGTTTTCTTTCTTTTTCAGTGGAAGGCTCCCCAAAGAGCCTAGAGAACGAAGATTTTTCTAGTAGCTCTGCTATTACGGTGTTCAAAGATACAAGTCAGGGAGCCGTGGACCAGCTCTCTTTGATTTTGTCTCCCGAGCACCAGATTTCCCAGAAGCTCTACATTCCTCGAAGCACAGCCACTGCTGCTTTAGGAGCTGCTGCAAGGCTCGCCACATCCAAGAGCCTCCTGCACTGGTACCCAAGTGTGAAAAAGGTGGAGACATGAGGGCAGTGGGGAGGGAAAAGTCAACCAGAGGCTTAGGGCGTGGTGACTTCCCAAGCCAAACCAAGAAGGAGGTATTGAGACAAAAACAGTATTTTGTTGACAAAGTTTCTAGACAAAGTTTATGCCTTTGTCTTTCTGTGAAACCCTTTGTTAGATTTATTGTGCTCACAGTCCCCTTTGTTGTGTAAGTATTGATTTCTAACATTCATTATCATTTTCATGGATGATGTTTATTTTTCTCAGAGTTTTGTTCGCCTTTGTTCAATGTAGAAGTTTAAAGGACTTTTTAGTTTCTATGTTTCTATAAATGTTTTTCTTGTATATATCATGACTGATAAATGTAAGCTGAAAAACTGTTTTGTGATCCATATTTAGTTAGAAAAAAATTGTTGCAGCTCTGTCTCCAGAAAGAGGATATCTGACTTTTAAGGCTGCTTTTCCTCATTTGAAAACTTCTATACCATAGAAGTAATCTACGGCTCCAATCCTTGCCGTCATTAATTCTTTGAAATACTAGGATCACTAAAAAAAATCCACACCATGAATCTTTGGTCATGTGAACCCTTTTACATTAAAAAAAAAAAAAAAGATGAAACTATCTTTCAGTGTAGGCAGTTTCTTGAAGACTTAACAAGAAAATTAGAGACTAGTTGTTGAAACTAGCTGAGCCATCTCTGCAGTCATCATAGTTCTCTGGAGCCTTAATGTAACAGTAGCTAAACAGTGGTATTGCTTAAGCTTTTATAGAGCATGCACTCACATTTGTGAAACACGCAGTCATGTCTAACTCTTTGTGACCCCATGGACTGTATAGCCTGAGGGGCCAGGCTCCTCTGTCCATGGAATTCTCCAGGCAAGAATACTGGAGTGGATAGCCATTAGTCCCGGGATCTTCCCAACCCAGGGATTGAACCCAGGTCTCCCTCATTGCAGGCGGATTCTCTACCATCTGAGCCACCAGGGAAGCCTGCATTATAGAGCGTGATGTTCTCTGAAGTCCACTTTATTATAGGAAATTCTGTTTAGCTCTTAGTGTAAACCATCAGGAGAAGAGACTGAAAGGTGAAATTAAAGAATGTGAATGATACCAATTTCTTCGTGGTAAAATACAAGACTTATCCCCAAATTAAAAAAAATCCAATACGGAAGCATTTCTTAGTGGTAAAATCAGAGAAAGAGGTGTGAATTACAGGCCTGCTGCGTGTGACTAGATTCTCACCCTCCTAGCCCCTCTTCTAAGGCCTCCTGCTTTGACATTAAGTGGTAGAGCTGGCTCCTAGTTCCTTTCTTTCCTCCTACAATAAGGAAGGTCTCCTCTGTTCGGCTCAGTCAGTCAGTCAGCAAAATGTCTACTGAGGAAGGGGGTGAAATGAGAGTAAATATCAGAGTGCATTTAAATGTAGAGTATTAATCATTAAAACTTCCTTCTTAGGATGAAGTGATCATGAAACAAACCCAAAGTCTCTTAACTACTGAGTGTTTTGGTTTAAAAACCTTAGAGCATTTTTAATGCAGTGAAAATCTCAAATCCAGATTCACCTTTAATTCTAATATATCTATAACAGTGATGGTATTCTAATTAACAAAAAAAAAAAATGTAATCTGAAAACGTCACCGATCATTGACCCAGAAAGAACAGGTTTCGCATTTGGGTTTTTGGGGTTTTGTATCAGACACCTTTATTGGAGAAGGCAGTCGAAGAGTTATATCACTTTGACAGTTAAATGTCATGTATGATACTCAACTGTGATATGAACTGGAACAGCTGTTTTTCATATAGATTTTTGTAATTATCCACAATTTGTTTCTAAAGAAGAAAACTCATTTTGAATGATTGTTCAGAGAAAAAGGCAAGTTTTGAGTTCTACTCTTCACTTCTCCAGATGGACAATCACTGGGTTCCAGAAAGAGTGAATCTGGTAGAAGCAGGCTTTACATGTTTAGTACGTCAGGTTGTAACTCTCTCTATAACAGCACAAAACTACCAGCAAGAACCCTGCCAGCACTGGGTAACCTGATGGTGACTGATTTTACACTTTGCCAGTTAGATGGGGATTATGGAATCACTGTGTTATTAAGGCTCTTTCAGAGTCCTTTCTCTTTGCAAATGACCAGATCATTTAAGACAGAGCTGTCTCAAACTAATGAGTGTCAGCACACTCTGACAGAGGCCTGTTTGGTAATGAATAGTTAAGGTCTAATTTAAATTAGAAGAGTGAAGGAATGAACCTTTGAGAGGCTTGTACAGTTTGACTACTCGACTTTGATAGGACAGCCAGTCTGCCAATATGTTTCCCTACCTTCTCCCATAAGGTGGGCTTTGTTTGGTGGTTAACCGAAATAGCTCAAAGCATCAAACAAATTTAATAGATCATTTGAAAATGAGTAAATAGGTTTCTCTATATGGGCAGGAGTAGCAGTAGGAAATGTTGAAAAGATAGGGAAATGCTCATGGTTTAGGATTAATTGTATTTTATTGTCAAAAGATGGGTTGACATCTACTACACTTAGAAAAACCGCCGTCCCCTCCCCATATTTTTAGTGTTAAGATTAATCTATTAGAAGTAGTGGCAGTCCCCAAGGAATGTTAAGTAGGCAGTGGGAGCCTGAGGTATGTATTGAGGGCATGGAGGGTTGATTTTTGAGAACACACAGGAGACTCCTGGTCATAAACTCCTTAGGATTAGAAGAGACAGAGTGGCTTTACTATTAGCCACTCAGGTTTTAACTCCAGTGGCTTGTAGTCAGTACCCCTCTCCTGTCCAGAAACAAACCATGGGAAGTCAAAAGAGGGCCATGCCAGCCGCACTGAACCATGCCTTTTCCCTCTCACTCTCACACATTTGAGATGCCAATTGTCCGTTTCAAGGCATAGGGATGACTAGAGACTTCTGCCTGCAGTCAGACTATGTCTAGCCTAAAGACTTAGATTTGTAGGATTTTGATGTAGAAAGGATGTCAGATTAGGAAATTCAAAACCTAGACTGACTGACTTGCCTGTGGTCACACAACTTAAATTCCCATGTCTGCTGCCTCCTAGCTCAGGGACCTTTCCACAGGAAAATAGTGCAACACCATCTTGTGTCATATCAACGATTTGATGCCAGAAAACATAGTTTGGTACTTAAGTCCAAAAGAATGGTGATTCTGATAGGTAGCTGAGCAGTCCCTGGTGTTGGTGGGGAAAGAGGTTGATCTACAAAGATATCATGTTCTTCATTGTGTATAGCTTAAATAACAGTGGGCCAGTTCTGCAGCTGAAGAATCTGGACAGGGGAATCTTTGGGGTGATGAGAAACTAAAATCTTACAAAGCAGTCCTTCTGAGGCTTCCTATTAGCATCTATACTAGATAACAAGGCCTTTCTAACAAACTTGGTATCTTTTCAGAATTAAAATTTGTTTTATTTATATGTACAGTGCTACATTGTTCATAATTTTTCAGGAGCTATCACCAAGACATTTAAAAGATTTCATTTCCTATAGTCCATTCAGACGTTTTCCAGGATGTCAGCGAAGGCGCCTATGAACTAAATTTGTCCACATGCTTTGAACTCAACCCTATTCCTAACAGCCAGGTGTCATTTGTCTCGGTCACCAGTCAGCTGAGTTAAGTTCTTGGTGTCATAAGCCTTTTAGAACCAGAATACCTTAATCTCTGCTGTACTTCACACCATGGTAGTCAGAAATTGTTTTAACTTTTCAGTTGAGGACTTCTTTAACATTAGAATCATCGTGCACCACTTTTCACATGAAATTGAGTGTTTGATGTACCCCAAAACTGAGTAGAGAACTTATTCACAACTAAATTTTCTTGGTTATAAGCATAGATTTTAGGAAATGCTTTTATTTTTCTGTTTGGTATAAACTTTGTCTTATATTTCTGTTAAATTTTTAAAATATTTTTTTAAGTTATGGAAAATGGTTATATAGGAACCAGTGTTTACTTGGTTATTATTTCTGGTGCAGTTTAGATAAAAAATTGATGAGGAAACCAAGATATGATTTAGATAAAAAATTGATGAGGAAACCAAGATATGATTCTCTGCCCTCTAAACTTCTGTTACAGAACTCATGGGAAGTTATCGGTCTCAAAGAATTATGATCAGCCTAATTCTTGGAGTTTGAAATAGCATTTTGTTTGATTTATTTAAATATTTATGAAGTTGGAATTTGTTTTGTCAAAAATGTCAAGGTGTTTTTTTGTGCTTTTTGTTGTGATAATTCTGCAGGAATGAAAATTTCACTTAAATATGTGACCTAAAGAACTTAATGGAGTACAATACAAAGTTCCATTATACAGTAAAAGCAAAGATTTGACATTCTTCTTGACTAAAATATTTGTCTTCATTTTGGGCATGACCTGTTTATTCTTCACGTACTTTGACCTTTGTGAACCTTTGCTATCCTGTAGATAAATACCTTAATTCCATCAAATTGGAGATTCATTCACACTGGAGCCTTTTAAGTACTTGGCAGCTACTCAAAGACTTGTTTTCTTTCTCTTGTTCACAGCAATGTTATCGAATCTTTATAAGTTGTCTCCCAGTTTCTTAAATGCTCTCTGGGGACTATTCTACACACTGATCGCCAAACCTCATCCCATCTTGCCGTGACTGCAGTTGAGTGCTGTTTCAGTCACTTCCTGCATTTCCTGATTCCACATACTGAAACTTTTCCTGCAGTAGCTCCTCTGCCTAGAGCATAGTATTTCCAGGTACTTCTCAACTCCATTTAGGTGATGTCTGGTACAAACTCTTCCTTAATCTGTCATTCCACAGGACCATAGTAGAAACCAAAGACTGAGCTCAGTTCATTTCTTACTGCAGCAAAAGACTTCTTGACAAAAGTATCCCGTTACTGCAGTACTGTTACTCATATGTTCTGATAAAAAAAAAAAATCTCTTCTCATGGCCATATATATGACAATACCTGTCAATTAAATGATTGTATATGTAACATTTAGACTACTATTAGGCAAAACGTATCCCCGCAGATTGT